GGCAGTGGGACATTGTCCCTGCCAGGCTCCAGTGGCAGAGCCTGCCCTGGCAGCAGGAAGCTCCCGAGGGCAGGGAGCAATGTCGAGTAAGTAATCTCAAGTAAATTTGCTGCTTGCATTTGCAAGCAGCAAATTTACTTGCGTTTAGAGCAAATTACTGCGCAGTAAGCATCTGCAAGTATAGATGGTGATGCTTACTGTGCAGTAATTAGCTCTAATCTCAAGTAAAGTGTCTCATGTAGATGCACCCAGTGTGTTGCTGTTATACAGCAGTGCTGGCTAAAAGGGTGTTTTAGAGGGAGCATGGAACTGGTAGTAGAGACTTACATGCATGTAATTTCTAACCTTGTTAGCCATAATAATACTCAGAATCCACCAGGCTTTTCCACTCGCTTTCTATTTACTAGATACTTGCCTCAGTTATAAACAAGACTTTATGCTGCCCTAAGCAAGTGCAGCAGTCCTACCTGTGGTCACCCATACTGAGACAGATTACAGGTATTAGTGTGCAGCCAGACTACTTGGATCAGGATGGTGTGGCATGCTGAGACCTGTAGTATCCCCAGGTTCTAGCAGCAATCTAATATTATAAAAGCCTTAGTCTTTCTGTCTGTAATGGTTTATTTGCACTTTGATTGGCTGTCTGAAATAACCAATCAGAGTGCAAGCGGTTGGACAGGAGGTGGTAGTTGTGCTGCCATGACGGTGGCAGCAGCGCTGGCCTCACCCCCCTGTGGCCTAAGGTGACAGTGGCGATGGACCTGTCGGGGGGGCAAGGCCTGGGTCATGGTCCTGGCCCAAAGCGGCGGGGGAGGGAATCGGCCCTGGCCTGAAGTGGCGAGGGGGAGGTGGGGAGCGAATCTGGCTGGGGGGAGGAGTGGAACAGCCCTGGCTCCAGCCCGAAGCAGCGGGGGCGATTGGCCGTGGCCCCAGCCGTGGTCCAAAGTGGCAGGGGGGAGGCAGGGAGCAGCACTGGCCCAAGGAGTGGGGCAGATGCAGGCCTGTGTGCTGTCCATGTCCACGCCCCCCCCCTCATTCTTGATGGGCAATTTGCTAGTTTTAAAGAGAAAGCTTTTGCTTTCTGTCCATTGGTCACAATTTTCAGGCATTTATCAAATTACTAATATACCCCCAGTTGAACAGTTTAATTGCCCCTGAAATGTATATGGAAAAATGTTTAGAGGCCAAAGTATTGGGTGGGTCCTAGCATTTTACTGCTACTTATCTCTTTAGTTCTTTCGCCAGAGAATGAAGGTGTGAAGCTTCTACCTAAATTCTTTAGTTTAATCTTTTTGTATTTGGAGTGGGAGAGATGTGAATTACCACAGTTGTATGAATTTGAATATTGCAAGGAGGACAGACCAGTCATTTGCAGATAAAAGTACATGGTGTTAGCATGTGACACGTCATTACTGCACATATTGGTTTGAAAGATAGTAAAGTAATTGAAAGTTAAGGGAGGGGGGAAAGCATCTGCTAGAGCAAGAGGCTATTGCTAATCTGAGAACATCCTTTTTGAAACTGCTACTTATTCAGAATAATTAAATTAGAGGTTGTGAACCTGGAGTCATAAAGGCACACGGCATTATTTTATTTCTTATTAATACTGTTTGCAATAGTCCCTCAGGCAGGATAAACTAAAAATAGCAGAAGTCAGAGAAAGTATGAACCTATAAAATAACTACACTGAGAAACAGGATGAAAATCTACTGCTGTGAACAGGCTATTTCAGCAAGGTGAAACTGGGTGGGAACTAATGAAATGTTGTCATTTACTTGATGTAAGCACAGGAGTTGAATCTGTACTGAAATACCTCTCTATTTATCTCTCTCTCTATCTGGTAATGAGGTTAAAGCAAATAGTTTGTACTATTTGTAGCTCTTAAAACCATCTTAAAAACTTTTCTCAACAGAGGTTGCAAAAATGTTAGAGCCTAGTTGAAATATTGACATTTCCAGATACAGTGTCAGAGATTCTGATTCAGTCAGCGCTAAGCTACAAATTCCTTGGTCCTGTGCTTCAGTGCAGGTGCTCTGCACTGCTTTATCTGAATTTCTTTTAGCAAACACCTCCTGCTTTCTGTTCAGTTAGAAGAGTACTGTAAGAAGAAAGTAGGTGACTGAACATGATTGTGCATTCATAGATAATATGCCTGTGTACCCTGTGAATGCTGTATTGCTGGGACTAAGGTCTTTTTTTTTTACATGGGGAAAGTTCTACCTGAATAATTAGTGCTCTACTATTATAGTACCCTGCATGGATGTACTTATTAAATATACAAGTGACTTCTTTTCAGTTTAGCTCACTTTTACCAGCAGTATAAACTAAACTAGAAGAAGTGCCCCCCCTTTATTAGAATTAAAATCAATATGGGCATAACTGCATCTTTTTTTTTAATTCACAAATTAGGTTCACTTCCTGTGTAGACAAGGCCTCACTCTAAATAGGGATTGTATTTTGTTGGGTTGACAACAAAACCCATATGTACTGCGGCTCCTGTTCATAGTCACATTTAATATGACCTTTGATAAACAATCATGTCAGTACTTGCCTTATGCAAATGACGATGATGCTTCACCACTGCCCAAACTGTGTAACAGGAGAATGGGCCTCTGCTTCTATTTGTTTTCAAAACCATTTTTGAGGATGAATCTTAGGCTAAAAAAACACCAAAATAATCTGTTAAATATTTATTTAAAAAAACACTTACTATATATAGTGTTGGGAGAGGAGGAGAAGAGAGCCTGGTTGGGAGGCCCTTATTTCTTGTTGCCTAATACTTTTTAACAAAGGTTTTTTGGAGACCTTTTCTGCCAGTTCCCTGGGTTATCCAGGCCCTAAGCTACTGCGGCACTCTGGTTGAGAATAGCTGACTTACAATAAAGGCGGGCTTCTAAAACTGACATCCTGTATCAATCACACATTTGGGGAGCTGGGTGGGAGCAGCCTTGGCTGGTAGGGGACCCTGGTGGCCAGCCTGTCAGTCTAGGACTGCTCCAACCCAGCTCAAGTTGCTGCAGAGGGGCTGGCTGGGGCACAAGGGTGCTTCAGTGTGGGGCTAGCTGGCAGGTGGTCCCTACACTGAAACACCCTCATGCCCCAGCCAGCCCTGTCTGCATCTGCACATGCATTGTGCCAGAGTAAATAATGCTACTTGTGTCTGGCAGTCCTGTCCTATGATGCAGTTAATTAATGTACTCCATCCTAATAGCACCACACATGTCGATGGTGAAATTTTACTGCGGAATGAATTAGTCAACTCCACACTAAGCATCTCATGTAGATGTACCCTCTGTGTTCTAATTTCTGCCTAATTTCTCCTGTACCAGCAGGAAAGAACAAAAGATCTGGCCACTGGGTTAATCATTTCCAACTTGTCGTTCTCTTTTCTGGATTTAGCATTAAGTTTCTTCCATTGTTTACTTTCACATGAGATGAGGTAATATAAGAGCAATGTTTTACTTCATGGGGGTTAGAAATACAAACTAGGACATTGGAACAAAGTGGAGTATCTGGCCTTCCCTGATATCTGGTCGTTCACTAGACAGTGTCCTTTCTTCTGTATCACTGTTGACCCAATTCCCCAGCATAGTTTTGTGTAGCATGGTACTGCTAGAAGTGGCCTCTTTTTTATTATTGCTTGTAAAATCCATCTAAAACCAGTATGAGCTACTTATTAGTCAGTTGAGATCTAAAACAATTCTTCTAGCCACATGTCATCATTAATGATTATATAGGACTTTTCATGTGAGCAGGGTTATTTATCCTTCTTTATGGTTAATTTTTGTAATTACAGTTGTTCCCTCCTCTCCTCCCTCCCTCCTCCCTACATTTTTAGTCAGGTATTTTACGCTTCTGGATATAATAGTTCAGGCAGTTTTGCTTTGTGCTCCTAAAATGACACAACTAACCCACCCCTGCATTTCAGTGATAGGCAGAATCCATAAATTTGTCTGACAGGTTATTTTTGAATAAAAGGTGCAGGAATGTAAAACTACTCTTAAGCAGCAGCAGCAGTAATAATGCTTTGCACTTTTATGCTTTTCAGAGGTGCTGACCAGTCATAAGACTTTGCTCCTGCTGCTGCCTCTTCCCTATATATGTTGGTTCCAGTTTGCAGGTAGAGAAGCTAAGATGCAGAGAGTAATTTACCCAACATCATAACATTAATTAGAAGTCTGACCCACCTGGCTTCCAGCCCTGTGCTGACTACATTCCATTATTAATGTTAGCTTGGCTTCCAATAATTTTTATTATGATTATGAGATCATGCTACATATCTACAAGGAAGCTGTATGTTGTATTACTGTAAAGAGCAAGGGACTTAAAATTTGTGGGGTTCTGTTCTCACCTTGATGAAATGTATCTGACAACTGGTACTTAAACTTGTATCCTGATGAACAATAGCAGTGGAGCCATTTAAAGCATGGAACCGTAACTTGTATTGTACTGGAAGCTGTGCCTGTCAAAGCAAGTGGCCAGTAGTGTAGCCAGACCCCCCATCTTCTCTAGAGGCAGAGCAGCTATATTACATATGCTGAGTTCCTACTAAAAGTGGAGTTGTTGTATTGCAGACCTGGTTTCTTACTTTATTCCTACCAGCCTTTCAGCTTAAAGGGTATATGATCTGAATGTATTTAATCCAACCTTTGTTATGATTGAGCAGACTCAGTACAGGTTCAGGAATGGGGTCTTTAGTAAACTGTCAGAAGAGTCAGGGGACTTGTAACTGTTCTAATTTTAATCTTCCTCTGGGATCTTTTCTCTCTTTGTACTCTTTGCATTGGCCAGATGTATTTAATCATGTGAATTTAACCCCCACAAGTCCTCTGGATGTCAGAAGTTAGGCAGAATGTGTCCTCTGTTGAGTTGGGGTTTTTTTAAGTTCTTTTAAGCTGGCCTTTCATTGCCCAAAGCTTTGAGGCTGTGGTTTTAAATCTTGAAATCCAAGTAAAAAAATTGTGTGACAGTTTCATCTCCCTGCCTGTATTACATTTCAGATTTCTGTATGCAATGGACACTGATCTCAGCTCCCAAGACAGGAAGGACCTGGACAAGTTCATCAAATTTTTTGCTTTGAAGGTAACAATTTTCTTGTTATTGGAATGTGGCCAACACCTTCCAGTCTGTATTTGCCTTCATTGGTAGTGAAGGGAAAAAAACAACAACTCCCTACGGCTAGGCTGACAGGCTTGTATGTCTGTTATTAATCAAAGTGAAAAGAGCTGAAGGTAAATGAAAAAGGAGGATTCTATTTTTACATGATTATAAGTTAAAGGACTGTTTCCAACAGCCTGTCCCACATGAAAACCCAGCTGCAGCCACTGCATGACCCTCCTAATTCTATGCCACTTTCTGTATATGAGATCGACAAATATTGCCTTCCTCAAATAACACAAACAGCTTAACTTCAGTAACATTAAATGAGTATTTCTTGTTCAGTCCTGACTTGCTATCCAGCTAAGTTCTTCTATTGCATCCAAGCCGATGATACTAGAATGCCTTTTATCACACACACTTTGATAACTAAAAACAAAGCCCCTTTATTACAAATAGTTCCTATCCTGATTAGCTAAGTAGATAGATAGATAGTGCAGTGACGAGCATGCTATAAATGCACTGCTGGATAGATTCAGACCTTGATCACCTCTGTGTATCTCCATCTTCAGGCCGAGGTTCTATAGACTTCGGTGGTACTGAATCAAATGCTACATCCCTGGATTATAAAATGTGTCTGGCAAAGAGGGTCTGCTTAAATCACACAACTGTCTGAAACACGTTTACGTACTATTGCTTAGAGAAGAGGTAGTTAGTCATGTTAATCTGATGTCAGGCAGAAGGCAAGGCAGAGTGGCATCTTGTAGACTAATTTAGAGAAGCATAGGCTTTCATGAGCAACTTGTTGCTTCATGAGATGCTAGCGCTGTTGCTTTCAAGAGCTTATTCCTCTTTGAATAAGTTTATAAGGCACCACTCTGCCCTGCCTACTACTGCTTGTAACACCTCAGGTGATTAAATGAGGGAGACTAGCAGAGGCCACTCAGTTGAGTTCTAAACTCTGCTTAACTTTTCTAGCAGTAAGCCTGTTTCAGTTTTTTTCAGCTGCTCCTGAATTGGTCTAGGATCCAGAATGGTAGAAATCTGTGAACTTCTTCTGCTTTCTCTTTCAGACTGTACAAGTGATTGTCCAGGCCAGACTTGGAGAGAAAATCTGTACTCGATCATCCTCTTCACCAACAGGCTCTGACTGGGTAAAGTTACGCTCTATTCAAGAGTGTCATAGCTCTGTCATCTATTCTGAGAATACAGGGGATATTTTCCTATACACTGTAAAAACAATCTGTCGACTAATGTTAATTTTCTTCGCATCTCAGTGGGTATGACTACACGTAAAATTCATGTGACTGAATATACTCTGGCTCAATTTGATCCAGAGTAAACTAGTCCCAATGTCACTGTCTACACATGTGTTTTAAACACAGTAATTTACTGTGCTTCTGGGTACCACGTGTATCTGATGGGACTATCTGGCAGTGCAGTAAATTAGCCTACTGTACCCTAATTACCATGCATGTACAGATGGTGATGCTTTAGTACGGAGAAAATTAGTCTGATGGGCCCAGTATGTATACTGTGGGCCAAATAGAGAAGAGTTATATGATACTCATCAGCAACTCCTATCATATGCTCATGGACATTTTAATTTTTTAGAGGATGATCTCATTAGTGCCTTTCAGTCAGTTTTGTGACTGACTCAGAACATGAATCAGTGATTCTGACTCAGACTGATCTAATTGCTAAGCTTCAAAGGGGAATAATGAGCAACAGGCCTTTGGGAGTGTGAGGAGAAAGGAGTGTTTTGTCTTGGTCCCACTGTACAGAAAAAGGATTCCAGGCACAAGTGAGCATAAATAAATGAAAATCTGGACCAATCTTGGATTTTGTCCATTCTACAAATGTTGCAGAGGGTCTGACTCTAGTCTGTTGAGAAATGGGTTACAAATCTCTTTGCAGCATGTGCCTCCACTGGTTTTCTAAAAGAACCTGAAAAATAAAAATCTGCCATTTCATTTTTGCAGTTCAACTTGGCAATCAAAGATATACCAGAAGTTACTCATGAAGCAAAGAAAGCCTTGGCAGGACAGCTACCTGCTGTTGGACGGTCAATGTGTGTGGAGATCTCTCTTAAAACCTCAGAGGTAAATGCTGAGTCGGATAGAATTCCCACCCGCTCACTTAAGAAATAAGTCACCAATCTAAGCTTTAGGCCCAGAACTTATTCCACTTCCAAGATGTCTGCATGGGAATTGCAGCCTCTAGGCATCCAAGTCACTATATATGATATTAGGTCTATGCTGTACCCCACCCCACCATTCAGTAACTGTAAAACATAGATTCATTATGTGCCTCTGTTCTGGTTTAGAACAATGGTGCTCTACCTTTTTCCCTGGCAGGCTGAATGGGCAGTGCCTGGTCTGACTGGGCTGTATGATGATTCCAGTTCAGCTGCTTGGGCTGGTGTGGTGGGCACCATCCAGCCATCCAAAGTGGGTGGAGGGCAACCGGGTCTGAGCCCAGCCACACAAGCGGGCAGGGGCATGGGTAAGGGTTGTGACCTAGCCCTGCTGGGGGTTGGGGAAGCAGGTGGGGAAGGGGGCTTCTCCTGGCTGACTGGGATAGCGGGGAGGAGCATGGTCCAGCTGAAGCCTGGATCCTCGGGGGGAAGGGGACTCAGTCTGGTTCCAACTGGGTGTGCAGGGCTTGGGGTTTGGGAATTTGACAGGAGGGAGTGTGACCATATTAATGGCCACCGCTCCCCCGCCACCAAATTTCCAGACCCATGGAATGTCCAGTGGGCTGGATGTGATGACTCTGCAGGATGCATTTGGCCTGCAGACTGGAGGTTGAGCAACCCTGGCCTAGAATGATTCCTTGACAGCTAGTCTTGAGCTACCACACATGTTCAGAAGTGAAACAACAGCTACCAAGATGTCTGATTCCCACCACAGTTCTGTGATCCATTTCCATCTGGAAAGTACAGAATTTCTGCATTAAACAGAAGAAAAACCACACCAAGCATCTGTAGCTGAGATCAAGCATGCAGCTCAACAGAGGAAGGAGGCAAGCCCACCCATCTCTTTTCCACTGGTCCACTTGCCCAGGCAATGGGAGGCATGGATACTAGACTCTACCAAATACTGGTTTTAATCCACATCTCCCATTCCTCAGGAAAGTGGTCCAACAACTATGACTATGGGCTGGGCAAGGCTAAGAGCATCCTCCATCCTGCCACTGAGTTACTAGGAGTCACGAGGCCAGAAAGAGAAAACTATAAGATACAGCCTCACTCTGTACCCCAGCGATGAGGACTTTCTGCTAGAATGGAGAGAACCCTGGGTTCCAGCCCTTGCTTGCATGGCTTTTTATGCTCCCAGTGCTGTTTATACATTTTAGCTCTACACCTTCCAGGGCAGAATAGGAGCAGGCTGTAGAGGCACATAAAGCTGCTTATAGGAAAAATAGGAGAGTTTTGCACTCCTCAAGGAGAAACAAAATCAGCCTCTGAAGGCAAGACTTGCAGGGCTTTTTTTGCGTTTTTTGTTTTGGCAAGCAGTTGCTAAGGCTTTAGCAGGCAGAGTAGGATCTGGACCAAGATTATGTAAAAAAAAATGTATCCAGTCCTGCAGTATACTAATATACCAGTGAAACTATGAACATACGAAAAGAGAAAGATTTTTCACTGCAAATCACTGAAGCAAAACACTTAAGACTAGGAGCATGCAAAATTGGCTTTGCTCCCAACATGAGTGAATAAGCTATCCTGAGGTAGGGAGGTACATGGTGTAGTCTATATCCTGCTTTATATGGAGTGTCTCTATCCTGCAGCAGGACTGCTGAGTCCAGCTTCTGTTAACCCATGTACATGAAGAGGAAATAGTGACCCATCTGTTTACAAAGACTTGGGAGCCAGCAAATACTTCCTCTAAGAATAGTGGTTCTCAACCTCATTAGATTCAAGGCAGCCCTCAGAAAATGCCACCATGTAATTTTTCAATCATTTTTTACTAGAGAAAAATCACTGAGTAATTCTTCTGTTGCATAGGACTCAGAAAGATCACAGCAGGTTGGCATGTTTTTGAGACTGGGTTCCCTAGTTTTATCTTGTGAATCATGTGTATGTGTTTGCACACTGAATAGTACTAATATTGCACGGCATCCTGCAACATCCTTAAAACTCTCTCAGAACCCTGGTTGAGAATCACTGTCTTAAAGATGTGGTATTGCTCACTATTAATGTGACATGACGATGTCTTCTTATTTGGAATGAATTGCATTACTGATCCTTTGTCTGATGCAGGGAGATTCCATGGAGTTGGAAATCTGGTGTCTAGAAATGAATGAAAAGTAAGTTCATTCTGAATATTTTCTTTTTTCTCCTTAAAATAAATGAAACAAGCAAATCTTTTTCCCGGCAGGGGACCTGACCTACAGTTGGAGGCACTAAGGGATAGAGATCAACAGCATTCCAAAATGTTGCCAAGTGCAGGTCAGACAGCATTCTAGATAGATTTGCATAAGGGGCCTTTGGCCTGCAACTGGTGCTGGCAAGGCTCTGCTGCAGTTTGCTGTTCTGTTTGGCATCCTGACATGTACTTTACAGTCAGCAGCAGTATGGAGAGAGCTGGGTGGGAAACTATGGGGAAAGAACAGAAAGATAAAATGTTCAACGAAGTGCAGAGAAAACTAATAAGCCTTTTAGGGTACTGGAATTATGTCCCCTACACTGATTCTCAGGCTTTGCTAATCCTTTGGTGTTGAATTAGCTGGTATCCAGTCCAGCTTTTGTGCTTTCCATCAGTTGAACAGATGGGGAGAATGCCACTGACTTGTATTTTCCATTGTTTCTCCCAGCCTCTCTGAAACTGAAAGGTAAGAATTGCCTGATCTTGTTAGACGAGTGGTCTTTCAAGTCAGGTATATCTCCCTTTGTACTTCAGAGGCAAACACTTCCCCTGTACACAATGTAAATGTTGAGTTGTGTTGGGGAAAAGGACCTAGAAATTAATTTGTTTGTGATCCTGTCTTACAATCCATATATGCCGTTACATACGAGATTCAGTTACCAGCAGCTACAAGTGTTAAGAATCTTCCTGAAGTCAGTCCTTTCCAGTGCAAGATTCTTTGGCCTCCTACAGAATCCACTGCTGCAGAAGGCCAAAGAATAACTACTTACTGTGTACACTGGACTGGAGCAAGACTCTGCTGGCCCAGCCAGGTTTGCCATCATGAAAATGTATTTATGCTCCTGTCACTGTAAGTGTCAGGCTACTGGCCTGAACCCTTTCAGTGTACACTTGTACTCTTTGGCTAGGAAGAATAAACTAACTGCATCTGTATACTCTCCAGGTGTGACAAAGAAATCAAAGTTTCTTACACTGTGTACAACAGACTGTCTCTACTTCTGAAGTCTTTGCTTGCTATTACCCGGGTAACTCCAGCCTACAGACTCTCCAGGAAACAGGGCCATGAATATGTAATACTGTACAGGTAATCTGGACTCTTAAAATTTCATTTTTGGAACTAAACCAGTAGGGAAACTTCAGACACAGGCAGTACAACTACCCACCTGGAATTTGGTCATAACATGTGCAGTCCTAGTAAAAAGTTCTAATAAATTACTAGTTATCTGAAACAGTAGTGACATCAGTGTTATAGCTCATTTGTAAGACAGCACTGTTACACGCATTGCTAACCCTTCCCTGAGAGAGCGGGGATCTGGTTTTAAATAAGCATGTCCATGCATGCCTGACTTGTGAACATAATGATGATTACTGCATGTGCAACTGAACAGTTAGATGCATTATTGGTCATTTGGCAGAGTTAACAAAAATATGTAAATTAACAATAAGTGTGTGTATGAATTGAATGCAAGTGCATGAACACTTTCACTTGCATACAGGTTAAGACTATAGTCCCTGGCGAGGGACACTGTGAATCTTCAGCGCTACTTCCTGCAACTCATAGGGTTTTCTTGTAGTGTCCTATCCTAATAATTGAGCGCCATCCTATTTAGCTTGTGAGGTCTAGTGAGCTGAGAGCTTGAGGTTGGGTGATTGCCAGCCCTAACACTTTTACCTTTGGCCTCAGGAAGTCTATTTGTGTAAAGAACCAGGATGATGATATAAAGCTACTGCAAAGTCCCAAGTTCACTGTCATGTTTGGCACAGAGGCATGAGGTTTAACAACATTCCCATTCTTGCCCATGCTGCAGGTAATAAATGACTGTTTTAACAGCATTAAGTTATTGCCTTTTTCTAGAAAGACAAGTACCAGTTCTAGGTCTTGGAATAGGCTGCTGTCGCTTTCATGACACCCAACTCATTTCTGAATTTCCCTTTTGCACTGATGTGTGGACTTATCACTAAGATGGCAGTTAGGACTTTAAAACATTCTGTCCAGGCTCCTCTCCCTGATTACAACTGCTGTTGCTATTGTCTCTTCTTTATTTCACATGGCATGTGTCCTTCTTAAGGAGCTAAATAGACCATTTAGTTTAAAGACTCTTTGGAGGTGAGTCTTCTGGCCAGTCCAATCATAACTTGCCACTTGCGATGTATGCCTTTCTTAAAGGGAAAGGTAGCTCTGACCCATTCACCCTTTGTGGCTTAAATAAGAAATATAGATTTATTTAGTTTCAAGTCCCTGAATAGATTGGGTGTGATGCATGCTGTTTCTCTCTCCTGTAGGATATACTTCGGAGAAGTGCAGCTGAGCGGCTTGGGAGAAGGTACGGTTGGGTACTATATATAAACCAGCTGGGAGCCCCCTTCCATATTAATAATGGTCTTGTTCATATTTTTCAGTCTTACAGGAAACTAGGTACATGTTTTCAGGAGCACTTTTTGTACAGATTTCATTTGTAGAAGGTCTTATTACAAAATGATAGTTCTACTACTTTGACAAAGTTCTGTTATGTTGGTTCAGGACTTGAATACCAAATTCAGGTGCCACTTAACGTTCAGGGCCAGCTTAACAGACTTCAGTGCTATTCAGGATTGAAAGGGACCATCAGATGTATACAGGGGCCACCATAGGTCAGGCTAACAGCAAGACAGATGTTATACAACATATTGCTGCTGTTGTGTTCTTTGGGTCTTCAGAGTTCTGAATGGAAGGATTAGTGAAACCAAATATAGGAAAATGCAATCCAGGGATAGGGAAGTAAGACATAGAAGTAATTAACCTCTGTGCCCACTACAGAATACTACTGAAATTGTTAACCATTCTTCTACCGTGTAGGTTTCCAAACAGTCCGCGTTGGGACAGTGGGTACTCCAGTGGGCACCATCACTTTGTCTTGTGCCTACAGAATCAACCTGGCCTTCATGTCAACACGGTAAGGAAATGTCATCCCCCCAAAAGCAGCTTCTTATTAAATACTGTTAAACCCCTTCATTCCCTGAGCTTCTTGCACTTTCCCCTAGGTTTTTCCAGGCTAGCTTAGATGGTCCCCCACACTGAATATCCTCCTGGATCTATATGTCTTGTAGATGGGGAGTATCTGGGTCAACCTAAGCCAGACTACAGAAAGTCAGATTACTGGCTGAAGCTTGGTGCTCTGGGTCCCCATTGACAGATACTGGGTACCACCAGTAGGAATGCAATAGAAAGGGAAAGCCAGCCTTATCAATAACACCATTTGCTTGTTGCATTGCAGGCAGTTTGAGAGGACCCCACCTATCATGGGGATTATCATTGATCACTTTGTGGACCGTCCCTACCCCAGCTCTTCACCCATGCACCCCTGCAATTACAGGTGAGGAAACACTAAGTGCAGTCACAGGCTATAGGTGAAGGCCTCACTGTGCCTAAGTGCAATACAGAGCCTTCTCTAACTCCTGATGATTGGGAGGGGGAGGAGGACTGTAGGATCAGGGTCAGTCTTATTAACAGTTGAGCATATGAGGAGCATTTTCCCCATGAGACATAAAAGCTTGAGTGCAGCTAGTCCCAGGGGATTCATGTTGTCAAAACTTCTTGCTGTAGTACTGGTTCATATGGTGATCAAGATGCAACTTTTTTTGTGGCAATGGTGGAATTTTCTGATTATGTTATTGGAAGTAGTGGCGTAGCAGTTGTCTTTACAGGACACCTGGTATAGAACCCATGCATGGAATTTGCCACCTCTCTTGATTCTTGCTATCATGGTTAAATTATGTGCAGTGGCACAGTTTAATATGATTGGCAGTGGTTCTGCAAATGCTGCAGCCAATAGTACTGCTTAGTGTATCAGAACCTTTTTGGTAAAGAATGAGGAAGCACCTCTTCCTTCTCTAAAGAAAACATCTGGAAAATCCCAAAGTCAGGAGAACTTAAACTGTTCTCCTCAGCCCTGTCAAAGAAAGAGTCAGAACCCCTTCAGAATTCTGCTTTCAACTCCACCCAAATAGTCTCAGTCCACCTGCAACTTCTGTATCTCGATACTCTCAGTATTCCTTTGTCTTCTGAACCATTCCCATAGTGAAATGTCTCTCTTTACTGCTGTAGAGCAACTGCTGAGGACAATGTGGCAGTATATCCATCAGTGGAAGACTCTCAGGAAGTGTGCACCACTTCTTTTTCCACTTCCCCTCCATCCCAGGTAAGAGAAAATGGGCTCTTTCCACTCCCAAAGACACATGGCACAATTCCCTTCAGTGCAACCTGGTACATGTCTTTTGAATTAGCAGCCAGGCAATCTAACAGCAGTAGGCTGGGTTCAATCTGTATAATTCAAATGCACTATAATATTAAATGCACTGCACAGACATTGCTCCCCACTGTGTGAAACCTAGACAGTTATTAATTCCTAGAGCTGTGTGAAGCTTCGGTTGCTGATTCAATTCAGTGAAGATTTGGTCCGATACGGTGGCCAAATCTCCGAATCAAATCGGAATCCTCCAAATCGATTTTGAGAGATTCGGAAAAATTCGACAATTCGGACATAGACACAGCTTTAAATGTTTTTTCTACATACCTCAGGGTACCAGGTGACTTGTGAATGCTGCAATGCTGGACCAGATGGAGCACCCCACAGGAGCACAGGGGGGTCCCCACTATGTTCGGGAGCAGACCCAGAAGTGGACTAGAAGCACTTCTGCTCCACTTCTGGGTCCACTGGGGAGCGTGCTGGGAGGCCCCTCCACACCCCGCCAGCTTGGCGACTGGTGTCTCCTGGCTCTGTGGGGGCACCCAGGGTCCCCCAGCGGCCAATCACTGAGCTGGGTGGTGTGGGGGGACCCCCAGCGCGCTCAGCAGTGGACCAGAAGTGCTTCTGGTCCACTTCTGGGTTCACCGCCGAGCACATGGGGGGGCCCCTGTGCTCCTGTGGGATGCTCCATCTGCCTCAGCATTGTAGCATTCACAAGCTGCGCCTGGTACCTCAAGGTATATAGAAAAAACATTTAAAGTTGCATCTATGGCCAAATTGCTGGTTCTTTGAATCAGCATCAAATCTTCAGATTTGGATTTGGCCGAATTGAATCAGGACAGTGATCCAAATCAATGAATCAAATCACTGTGCCTGATGTGGGGCTGAATCCAAAATGAATACGGTCCATTTTGCAAACCCCTACTAATTCCTACAAGACAGTTCCTAATTCCTACAAAACTCTAGGGAACTGCAAGTAATGATTTATGAAGAAAGATTAAAAGAGCTAGTTGGGCTAGGCAGGAATTGAAGGAAAGTATACTAGTCTACAAATAAAGGCACATCACAAAAAAGGAATAAAGTAAGATGAGGCAAGGCAGTATAACACAGAAGTAACAAGCTGCAACTAGAGGGGAATGCTCGTGTCAGGAGAACCTTTATCTCATTATTGAGTATTATTGCAGGAAAGGAGTGAAAATCCCATCACCTGGGACATGTAAAATTAGACTAGCAACAGCAGTGAGTACCTGATAAGAAACAGTTCCACGTTAGGTCTCAGGGTGTGAATTCAATATTACCTAATTGGTCTAGAGTTGATCATTGTCACCCAAAGTATTTTTTCCCCATGAAAAGGCTCTAATTAAAGCTTTCATGGCAAGTTGTAGATATTGAACATTTCCATTTTGATGACATTTAGACAGCATTTCACAGAATCGCAAGGTTGGAAAGACCTCATGGTTCAGATAGTCCAACCCCCTGAACAGATGCTGGTTTTGCTGTTTCCACCCAACTTCATGTATTGACATCTGCATTTTCTAATTAAACAGTTTTATAAATGAGGAGAAAATTGTCATACTTTTACCTGTGCCTTGAACAACAAGAGAGAAAAATACAGAAGGGAATCATTTTGAACCTTTGCAAAATGGAAACTTCAATATCTCTTCTCCATTTCTCTTTTCTGTGTGTGATTTCTATAACTGTATCTTAGAGTTTAGTTTTTGTAGAGCTATAAAAGGTCAAGAATGTTCAAGCTAATTGTCAAACCAAACAAAAAGTCCCGAGCAAGTTACAGACAGTTTAGAGGTCTGTGCATGCATGTGTGTGTGTATGCACATGCACATACTCATGAGTGCATGAATGCGTGGGAGCAAAATATATTTAAAATGTTCTGATTTGAATCAGTCTGCCATGGGGTCAATTACTGCCTCAAGGGAATTGGTCCAGTTGAAACCATTAGTGGTTTAATCTGGTAAGTCTAGAAACAAGCCCTTTTTCAGAGGTACCTCTTGAGATTCACTGGTATTGTGGGGACAGGCATCTGGCAGTAACTAACCAGTCAGCCAGTGCTCATGGTAAGTCTGAGAGAATAAAGTATTTTGTTCTTTGATGTCCAGTACAGGAGGCATACTTATGGCTGAGCGAGCCCAGTTTTCTGCCCAATAAAATACGATGAACTTGTACATACTGAGGAAATAGCCACTGATTTTTCTTGTAGCCAGACTTAGATAACAACAACAGTGCTAACTAAATATATGCAACCTGATATTTACCCAGAAGGCTCAAAGCTTTCTTGTCACTGAGGTAAAGCTGTCTGAAGTAATCAGTGACTCAATTCATGAAAAATACTAACTTCTCGTGTAACAACCCCATGGTTCGTAGTTTACCCTCACAGTAAGATTAAATATAAAGCTACCCTCCTGGCCAAAGACAGTTATTTGGGGGAAGGGAGAAAAGAAACTCTTCACTCTTACCTAAATTGTATGAATTGACTTAAGGCTCGGATCATACCCTGAGTTTGGTACATGGAGTAGGCCCCCCATTGAAGTTGTCATACATATGCTGTTCTTATATCCCATTTCCCTACTGATTGGGAAGTGAGGCCTAACTACTCGCTGTGGGTCTAGCCCCGTGTTTGTCCAGGGATTGGTGGCGTGGGAAAGGATAAACAAAATCTCCCCTCTTTCTAGCCCCTGGAAAGCATGCTTACCTCCTGTAGCACCTTCTTCAGAACATGCTGTGGTTCAGGAAGACAGACCTGACTAGGGTTAGCACTTGGTAATGAGATTGGTGTAATTGGCTTGCTAAGGAGGAGGCACAGGGACTCCCAATGGATGGCTCAGCCCTTTAACATCAGACAGAGGATTTTTAGTGCTAAAGTGCTAAGTTTCATTCAAGCAACTACTCATATTGCTCAATTTTGTGTAAAATGTAATTAGGTCATGGTAGAGTCTAGAGGGCTCTGGTAGGGGGGGCTGCACAGTCCTGCACAGACATGCTCCCCAAAGCACTAATTATTCTGGAAAACTAGTAACATAAACGGGAGACAGTCACAACATAGACAACTGGTATGTGCTTGGATAAAATTGAGTCTCGACTTTTTCCGACAGCCTGCCTTTGTTAACTGGCCAGTAGTAATACTAATAAGCTGTGGAGCAGAGCCTTTGCTAGTTGTTTTATCATAAGTTATCTTGAGACTCTCTAGTGTTAGCTGCATTGGGAGTGGTTACTTGTGGGACACTGGAAAATACTGGGACAACACTTTACAAACAAAAGGGATTTGCCAGTACTGAGAAATTTGTCTTACATTAAGTTTTGACTGCTCTAGCCATAGACTTTTGTCATGAATGTTCAGTTCATCCAACTCTCTTCAGTTCTTCTCTCAAGTCCTTTTCTCTTTCTTCCTTTCCTGTTTCCTCTGTATGTCTGTGTCTGTGCACAGTGTGTTTTTACTGTCACTAAGGCACATTTTCAGACCCCTCCTCCTGTGGTGACGGACACCTTGAAGGTCCCTATGATGGGACTGGGCTTTTCACATCAAGTGAGTTCACAACAGAAAAATTATTATATGGCCTGATAGTACTTTAACACACAGTAAGCTGCAAGTTTGACTCCTCAGAATATGTATTGAGAAAGTCTGTTTGCTATTTCCTAAAAAAGCTGGTCAACCCAAAATGGAATAAGCTCTTTCTGCTTAGACTGGTTTGAAAAATCTGATTCTTTATACCTACTTTTTCTTGAAAAGACTATTTTAAGTATTCTTTCCATTAAAAAAAATTGTATGCAACACTTCCAACCCTAGTAGTGAGCAGCAGCCCCACAAAAGCAACCATTGAACCAACTGAAGGGGAAGGGGAATAACTATTGCCAAGCTTTCTTAGGGGTCTTGATTGCAGCAAATAAAATCTTCAGATACAGCTCTGTCAAGCTGGCTATGGTCTTGGGAAAGCTGCAGTGTTCTCCACTTTTATGGGGTGGGCGGGTTAGCACACTGTGACACTGGAGGCCATCTAGCAGAACAAGGACTACTCTTGATAGGCTCTGTATAGCTTACCTTTGTCAGGAGAAAGGAGGAAGAGAATAGTAAAGGCAAAAGGTAAAAATAAATTGCATGTTGTACCTTCAGAGCATCCTTTGATATATTTCAGTACACACGTCAGGGGAAATTCTGGCCTAACTGAATAAGGTGTTTTCACCTCTAGTTTCAGTAAATCTTACCCATGGACTCTTGGAGCCAGGTACTTTTCCACCTATTAGGTGCTTAAGTGTTGTCCTCTTCCTGTTAGAATCTCTGAAAAACTGTAATCTATTTTTCTAACACACACTTATCTTACTCTTAAGGCTAAGTCTCAGAAAGCAGCAAGGAGAAGGAGAACTATGTTGCCCACGATTACATTAATGGTTTTTCACAGACTCAAGCAAGATGGAATAGGATTGCATTTAGATGCCTAAATCCACTTAAGCATCTAATAGGTCAACTAGGATCTGGTCTTGAACATCAGGAGATGGTATTTAAATGTTCTTACATGAGGAGCTGTTAGCTCCCTTGGACCTGCATGTCTGATAAGATTGCTCTTGCTGAAGTGTTAAAATCCAGTCACATAACTTAAAGTCCTACTCAGGTTTTTTTTGTTTTGTTTCTTGTTTGTTACAACTAACATGAGGACTAGGAAGAAAGCCATGTCTGCTCTCTATTTTTGTTTATTTTCTGCATCTCAGAGCATACTGTGTGAAGTCAGGTTTCTCTCATTTGTGTGAGTCTTTCAAACAACAACATGTGGGAGAGAGCTATGATAAAACAGGAACATTTTATGATGAAACTACAAAATTAGCAAGAGACCTCACAGAGATGAACAACATAAAGCTACTTTTTAACTCTTAAAATGTCTAGATTTCTAGATGATAGTGCCTGTGTGTCAATTTGCAGTAGCTGAGATTATAGAGATATTCACGGGTGCTGGTGTGGGGTGGGGAACGTCTTTTTAAGTTGAGGAACTGTCAAATCATTTCAGTGAGGAGCAGCCTGTACTGTTCTCTGGGGATTGTAGGTCTTCACCAGGGAGAATAGCACAGGATGGTACTCATAGCAACATAAGAGTTCCAGGGAGGGGCCTGGTTATACATCCCCTGGGAAGCTGGAAGAGGCATATTACATATGCGTCTAACCTTCTGTGGAAAGAGACCACCTTGTCTCCAGAAAGGACAGAACCAGATGTGTATGTGAGAGTGATCATTTCAGAGTCCAGATCTGGTCTGAACCCCCTCCCCCCCCCCCGCTCCTAAGATTATCTTGGAAGAGTCATGTGGTCCAGAGCTTCTAATAAAGAGCTCTTTAACATCAGAAAAACAAATGGGTAGTCCCATTGATTCCACTACTTGTGCTTCTGCATAAAGGGAGGGAGGAAGAGAGGGAGGTGAAGTGGCTTGAGGTAGGTTCCCCCCTCTGGGAGCTGGCTTTGGGAAGAAATCTCCAGTTCCTTAGCTCCAAGTCTCTCTTTAGTTAACAACTTGGACATCTTATTTGTTTCCCAGCAGTAGTTGGCTTCCCTTAGAGGGGGTGTTCTCCATTCCTGCTACAGATTTCACAGTAAGCTTCATACCTGCTCAGTGCACAAAAGGAAATTATTTTGAAAAATCTGAATAAATAAGTGGCTGCCTTAGTCCCTTCTCCACCGTGCAGTGTAGGTACTGTAATGTAGGCCAGGCCTTCCCTATGCTCCTTTGTGGTCAGTCAACCTCTTCAAGGCTGCTTGCCATCTACTAGAAGCCGGTCATATCACAAGGCCAAGCCTGTTTTGTTTCCTTTGTTATGAGGTGGACTATTAAAACCAAAGCTCGGCAGTTGGTATCTAGTGAAAAGTGTTCAAGCCACCTTGTCACCCTATAATTATGTTCTTGTGGCTCAGATTTCTCCTATTCTTCACCGAGTGATTCTGATAACAATTCAGACTGTGGGACTTTTCCCCCCTTCCCTTCCTCTCTCCTCTTCCTTTTCCCCTTTTTGGTTTTTTGTCTCATTTCTTAGCTTTCCAGCTCTCGTCTTTCCTATCAGCCTGCTGCCCTGGGAGTTGGATCAGCTGACATGGGGTATCCAGTAGTCTTTGCTGGTGGCTTGAATGCTGCACATCCTCATCAGGTACTTGTAGAGGTTGGGAGAATAAATGTCACTGGCATTGTGGCCAATGAGTATGTTGCATACACAGCTAAGAGGGTATTGCATGCATTGGTATCCAGTTAGGTAAAAAATGCCAAGGTAATTAAAGAGAGCATGGAGCTAACAGAGGGACCAGAAAGTGGCTCCACAGTGCACTTGGTTTCACTTGAGCTAGAACGTTTAATAACGCTTTTTTCCATAGGAATAGAATGGAGAACAGCATGAGGGCCAGAGTTGTCTGCATAGGAAAAAAAAGGCATTGAATGCAATGTAGATAGAAACAGCAAGGAAGAAAGACAAGATCTTGTGAAAATCTCCTTCTGCTTGACTTCCCCTTTGGCTCATTGTCTAGTAGTTACTGTTTTGTTTTAAAAAGAGTGTAACTAGAGTCTATTCATGACAAGCTGAAAATAACTTATTCCCAGTATAAGAGAACACACTCTTGTGTTGGAGCTTACTGCTGAACCACTTGATATTGCTAACTTGCTCATTCTTTTCCACCCCAGCTGATTGTGCCAGGGAAGGAGGGTGGGGTGCCCCCAGTTCCTAGCCAGCCACCACATGCTACTCAAGCTGACCAAGAGAGGATGGCAATGTGCACCCCTTTGGATGGAGCCCACTACTCAGCAGCTACTCCTTCCAGTAGGTAGGTCTTGGTAGGCAGTCCAGCATATTAATAGCTTATCTATTCCTGTATGAAGTAGAAACGTTTAAAAATTAACTTTTAGGCATTCAAAAGGCAGTTTTTACAGTTGGATTTAACTGTGGAATGACCAGCCAGCAACTGTCAGTTTTTTAGTTTCCCTCAGCTCAAAAGCCATAAACAATGATCTGTTAATCTGCTTACACTTTTTGGCCTTGCTCAAAATATCAGGATACCTTATGTTATACTTTAGTGCTGAGACAAGTGCTGTATCATTCTTGCTAATTGTGAAGAGCAACACAGGGTAGCTTTAACAGTGAGTTTTGAACTTTCAGAAGAAGTTTTGTTTGACTTGCTAGAGGCATCAGACAAGTCTTTCCAACTGTTAAGAATAAACGTCAGGTACAAGAGTCCTTATCTAATAAGAATGAAACAATGCAGCTTTAAATTGCACAAAGTCATATCCATGTGAACCAATGAAATCCAGGTTATTTTTAAATATTTCTTCATCCCTTTTTTGTCAATTGTCTCCTGTGGTTCCATCTTTTCTCCTGGTCTTAAGCTATTTGTTATAAGACTTCTTAATGAACTATTCTGCTTAGTAGAAAAAATTGCACTGTTGCTCTTGTGGCAGACTAGTCCTATGCTGAGTCACCTGCCTCACTGTGCCCGATCAAAATCCAGGCTTCAGGTGCCTCCCCTGAGGCACCTCTGTCCAGCTGACCCCCCTTCCAGGAGCACACCCACAAGCCTGGGGTAATCGCTGCCACAACCTGGGCCTTGGTCTTTGTTAGGACTCTGTGTAGCCCCAGGGTACACAGACCATGCAGACCTTGGGGCTGCTTAGCCCACCGTGGTATTTTGGGGTGCTATAACAGATAGCTTTATTGATCATCAAAGAGGGAGAGCCTAGGGTATAAGACAGAGAAATATCAAAAGGAAAAAAAAAACACTTTGAGCAAAATAGAATAGGTTTCTTGGCCTTTTGATACGCGTCTAGATTACTTCATTCTAAATTACTGGCTAAATTTCAGGTAAGTTACTCACAAGTTCATCCAGAGACTGATGGAGCTCTAGAGGCCTTTTGCTTGCCTCAGTATCCCATACGATGTCTGACCTGTCCCAAAATGGAATGACCCCTTTTTAAAACTTTTGTGACCCCATCACTACATCCCAACCAGAAACAGGGGCTACATGATGCAGACCAATCCTTTTAACAGCCATCGGCATCCTCAAGTTGTGGTGGGGGGACAGGGTCATACAGGTATTTTGGTGGGAACTAGGACAAAGCATCCTTACAGCCCAGCTCCCCTTAGGTGACCAGGCTCAGTTGCCACAGCAACCAGGCAGTGTGCAGAGGAGACAGAGGGAGTTGGGCTGCCCCCTTACGGAGGAGAGGCAGACTGAGGATGATTTCTTCACAGCTCCCTCCTATACTCATTGGGTAATCAGTCGTGCTCAAATAGTGAAACCCTGCCAGAAGACTGAAAACCAGAACTTTTTTTGTTAAAGGCTCTAATTACTTGTGAAAAATCAGGTCACAGGAGTGACTAGTAGCCACACAGTGAATTAATCATATTGATTGCTATAATATATTGGAGGGGCCTGGGAAATTGAATGCATTCCAATTCCTAACTACATCTCCTACCAAGTAAGACATCCAAGACTGCTCAATTACTGAAAGGAGTGATTGATTATGATTGACAAGAATGCTTTAGGTTTCACTGCAGCTTATGAAACATCCTTTCCTTCCCCCAGCAACCTTGTGCTGCTATAAGACTGAGGTTTTTGGTCCTACTACATAGGATGGTGTTTTCCCAGTGTTAAATTGAAACTTGCTCCACAGCTTTCGTCTCCATTTGATACAGGTAGCTGAGTAGGAAGACTTTGTCCAACAAAGGCAGAGATGTTTTAGGTTTTGTGTCCACCCAACACTAAAAAGGGGACCCAATAAAAGAAACCAAAGGAGTTCTGTGAAAAAGTGTACTTTTTTTTTATCTATCTTGTTTGAGGAGTGAGGTGTCAACCCTTCTTACTTCTCCCCCA